AAGTGATGCTGAACGTGATGGCGATCCAATTGAAGCTAATTGTTTAGGTCGATTTTTTAATCGATCGAATCTTGATCCACCATTATTATTAGGTTCAATTAAAAGAAATTTAGGATATACAGAAGGTGCAGCTGGTGTAGCAGCACTTATTAAAGTTGCTATGTGTATGTATCATCGTGGTATTATAGCAAATATACAATTTACTTCACTAAATCCAAAAACAGATGCGCAAAAATATAATCTACATATTTTTCAAAATTTTGTACCATTTCCATCCGTTTCAAATAATGAAAATCTAGCTATAGGTGTTGATTCATTCGAAACGGGTGGTACAACGACACATGCTATTACTGAAGAATATCAACCAATAAATAAAACATGAATTGAAAATGGTCATATCGATGATGGAAATCATATTAAAAGCAAACAATATTTTATTTTTATTTTTTCAAGTGAGTTATTTTTTCTTTTCATTCATTAAATAATGTATTTCTTCTTATTCAGCAAAAAGTCGTCAATATCTTAACGATCAATTATTGATATAGATGATGATGATCATCTAGCTTTTCTTCAACATATATCACAATAACTTCTTCTTAAAAGAACTATTAGTTATCAACATTCAGCAATCTTTGTTTTTCTTAATCGTCAACAATTACAAGAACAAATCAATGCTTTTCTTACTGAACAAACATCACCACGTCTTTCAATCATATCACGTCCAACAAAACCATTAGCACAGAAAATATGCTTCGTTTTTAGTGGTCAAGGTTCACAATGGTGGGCTATGGGTAGACAATTATATGAAAATGAACCTTTATTTAATAAATGGATTCATTTAATTGATGGAGAAATGACAAAAATTAATAAGGGTGAATGGAGATTATTAGAAGAATTAATTGAAAAGAAAACTGAACAAGAATCTCGTATTAATGATACAAATATTGCTCAACCACCATTATTTGCTATACAAGTTGCATTAGCAGCGTTACTTGTTTGTTGG